TAAAAAACCGTAAAATCTGCATGATGATCTTATTAATTTGCAATTGCTTATAAATTATTGGACATAATCTGTGACCGTTAATGTTAAAGCAAAATTATATTAGTGCCAATATGGAGGTTTGTGTAACATCCACCCAGGAACGGGATGTAGATCAATTTTTTTCCCACCCTATCAGGAACAGTACCGACGATCTATCAGGAACGGTATTTTTGCAGTATATATAGATATATAGATATATAGATATATAGATTTGGATAACAAATCATGTGACTTATAAGCAGTGTTTTTGTTTGCCTGTTCCTAAATAATATTGCCCTTTTTATATACAAAATTGATTCACTGACCATATTCATTTAGACCGGTTTGACTGTATAGGAATCTCGATTCCTGTACTAATATATTTTATTATACAAATCCTTCAGACTAATATTCTCGTATATTCGTAAATCATCAATTAATCTATGTAACAGCAATCCTTTTATGTGCTATACTGCAAAAAAATTCACTTTATTATATAAACTATTATAATCCTCATTCTATGAATGCACATTACAACCACAAGGGTTGTATCAGAGGTCTAACTATACTAAGTACGAAAATGAATTGAATTACTTTCTAGCACGTTTAGCATCTCGTGGTGTAGTAGTTAAAGTTATCCGTTCCCTCTTAGCCTGAAATAGAATAATATTAATAATCAATTAACCTAATAATTTGCAACTTTATTTAAAAGAAAAAATTACCGGGACATTACTCTCGTCACTACCACCACCATCACCGGTAACACTAGTTGCAGCATCAGATTGCTTTCCTCCAGCATCACCAGCATTTGTTGACTTGGATGCATTTCCCAACCCATTTTGTTTTATCTTTTGAAGTAATGCTTTTTTAGCTTTCAATTCGTGATCAGCCTTTTCAACTGCTTTTTTAACATCCAATAGTGTTTGTATAGCTTTTTGTAAATCAACCCATCGTGCACATACTGTTTCAGTGGGAATTGATGGTCGTGGACCTATTAAATATATTCAAATAATGTTATTATAATCTATATTGAAACAAACTGCATTTTATGAAAGAGTTAGAGACAATGATTGCACTAAATTCTATAAAAGATAAACGACAGAGTATATATACACATATATGCATATATGTCGTAACGTGAAATCATTGTTCACGTACCACATATATAATTTATCGTATCAATACCTAATCCAAATTCTTGTAATGTCTTTTGTACTTTAATTATCATTGTTTGCTTGGGTAACGGGATCTTGCTACTTCTTACTACTACACCCTGCGGAAACTTCTCTTTCCGGGCCGTTATTGGGGTATTATGAACTTCTGCTGGAGATTGAGCAGCTATTTATTATATGAAGGTTACAAATAAAAAGAATGTAATGAGAGAGGTACGGACGTAGAATGTGAATAACATGCAGCATAGTTGTAATAGGGGTAACTACCCATGAACGTAGGGGAATTTCCCAAATTTTATATGAACGTAAGAAGGTAGCTACCCATGATTCGAGAAATGTCTGCACCCCTAGTAATGGATAAGAAGAAATATAATCTATGATTATTAATTACCTTCTATAACAGCTGAACCAACAGAAGAAGCCGATGTACGACGATTCTTTTTTGGCATTTCGGCAGATGTATGGAAGTTTGAACTCCCAACTTCCATTGTTGGAGTTGTTGGCCCACTGAGAAGTGATTTCTTTCGCTTAGGCTAAAATATTGTATATATATACATTAAGTTTTATATAATACTCGAAGAGAACATGTGTGAATTCACCTGAGCAAGTTCTTGAAAGCTAAGTAATTTCAATAGGTTTTCACGTTCTCTGGCAAATTTCTTTTCATTCTGTTCAATTCGTTCATATTCCTCTAGTAAAGCTTCTTCTTCCTACAGTAAAAAAAAAAAAAAAGTCTAAACAAATACATATTTCTTTCAGATAAGATTGATAGAATACTGACCTTAATTTCCTCAGGACTTCGAAGGTACAATGCGCACATATGTTTTTTCCTTTTTTCCTCTTTGGCTGTTTATTAAATTCACATTTAATTCGTAGTTAGGAACATAACTACATAATATTAATAAATAAGTGAATCTACCATACCTTTATCGTAAGTATTCATTGCAATCAAAGCACCCTTATCGCTACCCTCAGGTGGGCGCACCTGTAAAAGTTTTTTACATACTGAATAATATCGGTCTTTTAAATCCTAGCCAAAAAATATTAAATTCATAAAATAATCATTTCTAAATGAATTGTTCGAAATCATAATAAAAATAAAAGGGATAAACAATCACCCACTCACTTCCATTGATCGATCTTTATATTCGTACCGATCATGAATGACTATGAAACGAAGGTCGTATTTGTCACATAGGCTAAATAAATAATCTGTCTCCTCCTTGGTCCAATCTTTATCTGGAAATACTCATTAGATATTGCATAATGTTGTTTGAAATAAATTATATGTGAAAATACCTTTGACTAATACCTGTTAAATATTTTTCATACTCTTCATCATCATATTTCAAGATATCAATTTTTTTGTTATATTCGGCAAACCAATATCCTAAAAAAAAAAAAACGTGAATAAACACTAAAGATAATAACATTGTTAATAAAGGAGGCTTTACCAGAATCTTCGGATTCAGAAGTAGGTGTACATTTGACCCAGTGTTGTAGCGTCAATTGATCATCTTGTCCTCGTCCTTGATTATTAAAACTTTGCCATTCCCTTTATCAAGTATGTTACAATTATTAATGAACGGTAATTTCGAAATGGATTCTATATCTAAATCTTCTCAATTAAAATCTTATCAATTGTTATGATAATTTTATAGTTTAATATGAAATTTTCAATTACCAATGAACAGCCTTTTTACGCAAATTTGGTTTTGCCTTAAAAGCTGGCTTTACAAAAGCTATTGGAGGTGGACCACCTATTAACTGGAATAATTCTCGAGGTATTCCCTCTATTAAAGAAAGAAACATAAATGATATATTATTTAAAAAATATAAGCATATGTAGTGTAGTTAGAACTATTTAGGAGGGTTCAAGTTGGATGAGTAAAATGACAATTTTCAGTACGAAATTTTCTGAAGCTTAAGATTAAACTTAAAAGAGTACACTAATTCGACATAGCACACTTTCAAATCATCTAAACTTCGATGTCAAGCTAAAACTATTTGAATAATAGATTACTAACCAGGCTTCCTTTCTTTTTCAGACTTGTTTGCTTTTTTACTCGGTACAAGACTGTCTGTTGAGCTTGAAGGTTTGTGGTGAAGTTCGAGAATATCTCGTACATCGTTGCTGGTCATTGCTGTGATTAATACAAGGTTCCTACTTGGAAGACAAATGTGTCAAATACCAATTTATAATCGACTATAGTAATGTAATTTTTTAATTTTGGGGGTCGTCTAAAGCGCCACCAAAAAAGTTTCGAAAATCATGTGATATTGTCAATAAATTCAATTAATTTTACATTATTCATACAGTTTAAAAAAAACAAAAAGGCCGTATAAAAGGTTTGGTTTCATTAGAGCTAATTCTCGTCTGTTTAAAAAAGTTAGTATAGTAATAGCTTCTCAAACCCCGATAAAATCAACTTATTACTAAGTCAATTTTTTTAAACAAACGAGAATTAGATCTTATTTTTGATTATGAAGTCCTATAGCTCTAATAAAACCTTCTATATAGTTTTTACTTTGGTTTTTATTTTTTTTAAAAAGTACTAAATAATGTAAAATTATGAATATCTATAACTAATATTAAACTACTTTGTGTAATACTACTAACAAACTTATATCTATTTTATAGTATAATTATTTCTAACAACTATTTTTCTATATTGATAATTCTGTAATTAACATTAATTTATATATTTTTTTATTTTTTGACAGTCTTGTTAGAGCTTAAATACAAAATTTTACTAATTGAAACATTATTTATTTTTAGTAATCCATCTTTTAAGATTGCAAACCTAGCATCATTCAAGTACAGAAACTGCATTCAATCTATGTCTAAATTGAAAAATTTTGTTAGTTTTATCAAGAATCAAATCAGAATGAATTAATTTTATTCTATACTAATTCATTAACCTTTTTACTGAATAACTGAATACATTCTACTTCTCTTTTCTTATTTTTTACTATTTTGATCTTGTTTGATATATTTTTTTTTGTCTTTTCTTTTACTTTTGATTTTTTTTAAATTACAATTTTTATTTTCAGTTTTTTTTACTTTGCATTATTTTAGTTTTGATATTATTTCATTTTTATTTTCCTATTTGGTTACTGTTTTATATTTTTTTTATTATACTTCTTCTCTAAATATCTTTTATAATTTTGATATATATTTTTATAAAATGTCTTGTATTTCTTTATAAAACTTATTTTGCTTACAATTCTTTAAATATATTTTCTGTTAATAAATTATGTATATATGATTTTCAATATTTAACCTTATTTATATTATTTTTGTAAATTAATATTTTGCTTAAGTTTTATTATTTTGTTTTTATCTAATTTATCAAGCTTCTTTTATACTAACTAACATGTTAATTTTTCAATATTACTTTAATAATTACTATACTCTTTACATCTAAGCAGTTGAGTTGATGTTTTTTAATTTGTATAATACTCTTTATATTTATCTAACTCATATAAGTCTGATATTTTTTTCTTTAGTATATTAAGAACTAATAAACTATTACTTATATACTTAATTTTAAATAAAATCTTTTTGATCTCTTCTAATAATTTATATTTGATCTTTGTTAAGTTTTTATTTTTTTTACAGTGTTTTTCAATCTTTTTGTGTTTTAGGATTTAGTTTAAATTTTTTAATTATAATTGAGCATCACTACTTAGTACTATTCATCATATTTATTAATGTTTTAACAAACTTTCTTATAGATATTTCTACAACTAATTTCTTTTAGTATAATGCATATAAGAACTAATAATTTCTTTTAAGTTTTAAATCTGAGTATTTACTTAACAGTATATCTTTCTTTACAAGCTTATTAACTTTTTCATTCTATACTATTCTACTATATGCTTTAATCTTAATTAATACTAATTCAACATTCTTTGACTTATATATATCTTTGATTTTTGTTACTAATTTAAAGTTTTTGCTTTTGCTTTATATTTTAATATTGTACAAAGATTCTTTTTTTTCTAAACTTGTAATTACTGCAGTACTATCTAATTTAATTACTATTCTACTATTATAATTTATAACTAAAATTGTCATTAATACTGTAATTAGTTTTGCTTTTGTTAATGATAATTATTTTTCTAATTTAATTTTTCTTTTCATTATAATTTTATTTTCATCTTTACTAATCTGTAACTATTCTATATTTATTATTTTTTTTTATTAATGACCTATTTATATAAAACTTGTATTCTATATATTCTACTATAATATTTTTTTTAACTGTTTTAATAGTCAATTCTCTAAACTATTGTTAAAGTCTTGCATTTTTACTAAACTAATTATATATATATATACTATTATCCTTCTATTTATAACTCTTTTGTTATTCATAATATCTTTTTCTACATAATTCTTTTTGTATCTTTTTAGTTTTTTCAAACAAAACTAAAACTTTTTTTTTATAATCTTGTCTTATTTTTAACAATACACTTATTATTGTATTCTTTCTAATCTAATGTTGACAATTACTTTTATTGTACCTGTTATACAAGTTGTATTTATTGCATTTTACAAGTACTGATTAATTTCTTCTTTCAATTTGAGGCATGTTTTAATAATTTATTAGTACTTTTTTTTTCTTTCTAATTACTTTGCTTATTATTAATTCTGTATTTTTTTTGTTTACTAACATTTATTCTTGTTTTCTTTTGTTTTGTAATAACTTTTTAATCTTAGTTTTTATCAATATAATATTTATTTCTTGTATTTAAAACTTAGTTTGAATTATTCTATCTACTAAATCACTTAATACCTTTTGTTTAATTTTAGCAAACCATTTTGTTTTTTGTTCTTTTTGTATACTTGTTTATAGTATTCTAAATTTTTTTCATATAATTATTCTTTTGCTTTATTGATCAATTAGTTATTATACAAAAAATAGCTTATATTTTATTATTATTTTACAAGTTATTTTAAATGTCTTATTCTTTATCAAACTATATACAACTTTACTTGTATTAGAAACTTGCTAAAGAATACCTTTTGTTCTTATTATTATACCTATTTTATTTGCTTTTAGCAGTACTAAATATATCAGATTTTTCTTTTAGATTTTCTTTAAACTACTTGCATTTGGTATATTTAATATTTCTGATATCAACTTTACTAAAGTATACTTTTATTTCACATGTATTTTTGTCATTTTACCAACCTGATCTGGTTTATTTAGTCTTTTTTATATAGAAATCAACTGATTGTTAAATACTTCTTAACTTAATATTTTATATTTTCCTAAATTTTGATATGCAATTATATTATTCTTTACAGTTGCTAATAGATCTATTTTGTTTTTAATCAATCTAATCATTAGCTAATGTAAGTAATTTAGACACTTTTTAGAAATCTTTATTGTCTGCAATATATATACTAGTTTTGATATTATACATATATTATTAATATATATTAGTTAGCTGATAATTAATTTTTTAAACTATAAGCTTTATATGAATTATTATATAATTTTTTTTGTCTTTTTAAGAACTAATTTTTTATTTTCTTTTATACTCAATCATATTTCTAATATTCTTGTTAATAGGTATGGCAACCTAGTAAAGTGGTCAAGTTGTCAACCCTCCAAGTAGTAGATTGGGTATTCAAATCTCATTAACAATAAAAATTTGGATAATTATCTATATAATATTTATATTATAGTAACTGTTACTAATGATTAGATTAGAATATCTGTAATAGTAGTTACACCAGCATGACTAGCAGGTCATAGAGCATCTGTGCAATGTTAAAGTATACAAAAAAATGCAAACTGATAAATCAGATAGTGCAAACACTAGATAAGTTCTTGTGATCATGTAAATCTATTGAAATTGGGTAACAAGAAGTTTATTTAAGAAGACTTGAGTAGAGAGATAACTGAATTTTTAATGGCTCTACTGTAAAGGCTAGCTTAGCAAAATAGATATTAAGATCTAGTACCCAGTCATAGTAGCCAGACAGACAAAAACCTCTGAGTTAGGAGTCTCAGAGGTACTACCAACTAGACTACTAAAATAAACTGAAGGAAAAGAATATTAGACTAACCTGATATACTAATGGACTGATTGTAGTCTTATATAGGTTATCTAAATTGGAAGTTTGATAAAAAGGTAGAAGAAAAGATAGAAATATACTAAAGTACTAGGGTTATGCTATGAAGTAAATACTAGGGTCTAAGTAAACTCTATAAGAACACAGCAGTTTAATGTTTAAGCTTTAACTATAAGTATTAGTTCTGCTATAGTGATACCTAGATCAGTTATAAAAATAAGTACAGAAGGCTCTAGGAGGTTTATCTCGAAGATAAATTAGTCCTAAGATTGAGATAATAATCTGGGCATCTGGATATGACCCAGTGAGTTAACATAGGTTACAGGTTCAGAGTATTTAAATTAGAACATCTAAGCAGAAGTGTTAGATATGACAATTGATAGAAAACCTTTAAGTGGACTCCTTAAATAGATAATATAGAAAAGTTACACATATAGCCAAATGTATACTTTTCTGTAATGGTTTATTAAACCACAATACCAATAAGTGATTAATAAAAATCAAAAGACCAAAGAGGTCATCTTAATGAAAAAAAAAATTTTTTTCTTATTAATAAATATTTTTCTTTAATATGTAATTAAAAGCTATCTATTAATACTGTTATAGGTGAAAGCCTTCTTAATTTTCACACTATAACGATGACACGGCACAGGGAATCTCTTACGGGTATATGCAGTGTCCAAGAGGGAAGTATAGCTTCTGTTAGACGTTGTCAAGAAACTATACCCATCTCTGA